CTTTCACAGATGTCAGCCAGAGCCCCGCACCACCAGTGGAAAAGGCACAAGCGCACCCACACCCCCACAGCTCCCCAAACAGTCTCGTCTCGATTTGTCTTGGAGACTGAGCCGGGTGGGAACAGCTCTGTTCCCAGACACCTGCCTGCCTCCTATACCCAAGTCCCAGCGCTGCTGCACCCAGCCTGATGCAAGCCTGCTTCCCCCTGACTAGAGGTGCAATGGAGGTGCAAGTCACAGGCAAAACCCAGACATCCTTCCAAAACTAGTGGCCTATAGCCCAGGCCCTGACATTCACTGGCTTATTTCTTAACTTTCAGATGTGTAGCTTGATGCAGTCTCAGGTCGCAAAGTCTAAATGTAATAGAGTCAACGAGATTTTAAATGGAAAATACCAAATCAAGGCTTCCTGTGACTCTGTAATACTCCCTCCTCTCCACACCCCCACCTCGCCCCAGCAAAGGGAGATGGGCTTTGTGCTCTGCCCCTAAGGTCTGTCATATCGTTGTGGACAGTGCAGGGAGCCACTATCATGGACACAGGAATTGAATCCAGGGTGCATCACACGATTTCCACCTCTCCGGCAAGAGCTGGGTTTCTCAGGAGCTGAGCCACCAAGCTCTCTACGGCCTCGGAGACTGAAGGCAGAAGCCGAGGAAGCCAAGCTACGCTTCAGACTCCCACTGCCTCCTGGGCAGGTTGCTCTGCAAAATAGTCAGGACACAAGTGAAGTGCATTGTCTGCCCTGATCCCATAGAGGAATTAGGGCCCACGAATTAAAAACTCCCACTGATTCCCATGGGATCAAGTCAGGGCTCTTAGCCCAAGGGACCATCTGCCATGAGGAACGAGCTATAAGAGAGGGTCCAACATTTTTCCGTCCAACTGCAGCTCCACACAGCCATGCCCAGGCCGCGAGACAGAGCGGCTCAGTCTGCGCTTCGCGGGCTGCTTGTACATAGGGAGCCAGCTTGTTCTTTCACCGTAAGAGGCGTATGACTTCATCGTGGGGATGGCATCTGGTTTGGCAATTGGACATAATTCAATTTTCCCCTTCACTACAGAAATGTCAGCTGGTGGAGCCATGATCCTGCGAGCAGAACTGCACCTCTCCAGTGCAAAGAAAGCCTCAGGCTCCAGCTGAAACCCCCACTGCAGCTCATGCCGAAAAGGTCACTGCTACGGGGTTCCTGCTCTTAACTATGAGAGCGGCCAACTGCAGGTCTCAATGCCTTTAAAGAAAAGGTTTATGAGGGAATTTAGTCCTCAGATAGAAAAAGGACTCATAGCACTGCGTGATGCTGGAGCAGGGCTTTGCCAATGCAACTCCTCCTCAACTGGCAATGCTCCCCACCCCAAATCTTGCCTTCTCTGCCAGCACGCATCGCTCCTGATATGTGGTGCTGCCTGTTCTTCCAGTCCGCTTGGTCCTTGCACCTCCATCTCCGGTTTCTCTTTCAATATTTGGCTCCCCACCTGCTCTGCTAATACCCCTCAGTCCTGGCTTGAAGGACCTTCTGCTAGTCCAGGGTTGACCCTTGCCCCAGCTCTGTCAAACAGCAAAGCCAGGTAGATTAGTCACCCTGCCTTCAAACAGCAAAGCAACATAACGCCAATCTTATGGCATCCCCTGCTCTTCTGATACTTGACACCCGCTCAGCTCTGCCAAAGCACCTTGGTCCTGATCTCCGCTCTGCACTGAGCCTGTTCGGACCCGCAGCAACACCCCGACTCTCCCAGCGTGCAGCCTCAGCCGGGGAGAGACTGCCAAAAGCATGCTACCAGCCCGAGGAGAGCCTTGATTCAAGCGGTGTGTCCACTGGGAGCTCAGCTGCGAGACCCCAAGCTCATTGTCACTGTGGCTTGCCCCGCTTCAGAGGCAGCAGGTTGGTGCAGAAACCAAGCAAGCCCCCAGGTTAGGAAGTTTTATGGCTGCGCCGCTCTGTGATCACTTTTATGTGCACGCCTGACTCCCCGCAGCTGTTCAGGCCACAGAGAAGAAGAAACCTCAGCTGCTGACATTATAAACCCAACTTTCCCAGTAACAGCTCCCAGATCCTATTTGCCAGGGGCTGGGAATCAAAGAGAGGCGATTTCTGTGGGGGGGGGAGCAGCAATCCACATCACATGCATTAAAAACAAGGCCCCTCCTTTGAGCTCCCCTTCCCCTGAGATGGGCAAGCACACACAACTTCCCGCTCCAACTAACTGACCAGCTTCAGCAGGAGAAGAAATCCGCAAAGACCAAATATTTCCAGGATTGCATTTGAATCCCTTCCTTCTTCTCTACCCTCACAGCCCCTCTCCACCGCCACCGCTTTGCCCTGTCTCCCCACAACCCAGAACGCTCCACGGGCTGTCACTTTAAGAGTGCAGAAGGTGTTGTTTTAACAACCTCTAAGCCCCCCTTCTCAGTTTCAGCTTAGTGCTGAGATCACATCACTTGCTGCAGCTAAGAGACAAAAGCCATTTATCAACCTATCTGATAAACCTGGATCCTTATCTGGAGTCAGCCTCATTGCCTGGATGGGTTGGAGGCATAAATGCCCACTCCTTGGAGAAAGGGGGTCAAGAGTTTCAAAGAGGAACTGGATCTTCTCCCAGCTAGATGCACAAGCGGCCTTTGGGAGCAGGGGACAACCCCTGAAGTCTCAGGGACAACTCCCAAGGACAGGCTTTCCAAGGAGCACAGCTCCACTGAAGTAGGTGGGTGGACTTTAAGGAGAGCTGAGCTCAGTGGTGCTGAGGATCACGGCCGGGAACAGCTGGACACTGAATCCGCTGAGGAATCTGACCCCGCTGGGTGACCCTTGGAAAATCTGGCCCCTGGTCTCCTCCACAGCAGGTCTGCTTAGTGCAAATCCCTGGATTTGGTCCCTTTTCCCCAAGTGCCCTTTCAGCTTTCTCCAGTGCACCCGGCAAGGTTACTTACCCCCGAGCTGGGCAGGGGGAGCCGAGAGGAGAAGCAAAGGTCCAAGCCCTCACGCGTGCAAACCAAGAGTCCCCCACCCCGTGCAGCCGTCAAGTGTCAAAGCAGCAGGACAGCAGAGCTGCACCAGGGCCGAAGTCTTATAAAAAGGGAAAAATAAATACAGGGCTGCGGAGTCGGACCTGGCGGGGCACTAGGCTCGCACACAGAGCGCTCTGTTGGGCTGGGCTCTACTATAACTCTCAGGAGCAGTTTTAAGACTCCAGCAGGGTTATGCCACCTCTTTACAATGTGCTGCTGAGATGCTTAGCAGGAGGCAGAAGTAGGGGGAGACACCCAGGTGCAGAGGCCCCCCTTACCTTCCCCCCCCCACTTCTTGGACCCCTATTAAAATGCAGAGCAAGGTACAGGCGTAGTGAACAGGGAGCTTTCTCCACCCTGGTGCCCAAGACCCCCTGCACGCTGCCCACAATCTCCCTGGACTGCCCTGTTTTGCTAGTTCCTTGCAAACGGATTTAACAGTTGAAGGGGGAATAAGAAAAATAAAAAAAGCCCTTGGTACAAACAAGCAAACCAAGCAGACTCCTTCTCGCACACCAAACTCAGCCCCAACGCTGGGCAAAGATGTCAGGCAACAGGCATCAGCTCTGATCAAAAGCTCCCAGCAATGCAGATCTCTGCCTGCCCGTTTGCACAGGGCGAAGAAAGCCCCAAACTAGCGTCGGTGCCAACGTTTTGCTCAAAAGGTTTATTTTCCTGCACTGAGGCTTAAGGGAGGTAGTATTGGGGGGGGGGTAATGCATTATATATTTATTTATTGCATGTGGGAGTCTTTCCATAGCCCTAGGCTGCCCATGTATTTCTAACCTGCGATCAACAAGGGAAGAGTTTTATAGAAAATAACCCCCCCCCACCAAATAAAGCAAACTGGCAGATTTAACCTTAGGGTTTCACTCTCCCTTGCTCCATTTCCACCCCCCACCATCTAAAAAAAAAAAAAAAAAAGAGTTAAAGAAACTGGAGAGTTTTGGAAGGAACAAGCCCGCCTCTGTGGAGCTGCTTCCCCCTCCCCCAACAAAAACAAGCACTCAGGGCTCGAAGGAATTTGCAGGCAGAGATCAGCCAAAAAACATTGTGAAAAACTATGGGGGATTCATTGGAACCAGATGGCATTTTCAGCTGCACTTCTGCAGCTCTCTCCTGCTTTCTGACACAAGCCAAACAAACTGGGAGAAGGTGCAGGGGAGGGGGTGGCCCTGAACTGTTATTGAACAGAAAGATTAGTAAGAGCTGCAAGTGGCTGTGGGCATGAGCCGGGCGAGGGACTGCGGGGGGAGGCTTGGCAAGGGAGATCAGACGCTGGCCCTGCCATTTGGTTCCAATCTCACTTTGCTTTGGATGGGCAGCCAGGAGCCACTGCTTCCCACCCAAGAACCTGAAGTTTTCTACCTGGACAATGGCCAGAGAGAGGAGACAGGCAGGGCTACAAGCCCACAGCAAGGACGAGCCAAAGCGACTCGGGAAAGGAGGCAGCATGTTTGGACCCGGCTCCTTCCACCCTGACCCGACTGGGCCCGGCTGAATTCACTGGCGTGTGACCCCCTGTTTAAACGGGTGCCACCCCACGTACTGTGGGTGCGCAGCGGAGAAGGGGAGCAGGCATGCGGTACTTAACCCCTCTTCCTATAAGACCGTTGCACGAGCTGGTGCCTGAAGCCAGGCCAAGAGGTCTGCCCTCCAGCCCGGAGCCAAGGGGACGTGCCAGGCACCGGACTCCGCTGCACCCGGCGCATCCCACTGATGGGCAGCCTCTGGCACCTGGCACATGTCAAGGGTCCTAGTCTCCCTTCTGCAGAGGCCTGCCTGGAACAGTGCACCCGCTGGGCTCACTCCTCCTCACCCCCCTGCTCGAGGGAGCCCGTGGGGGCCACCCTGGCAGACAAAGAATAGGAGAAACGTTGCCACATTAAACCATGTGCCAAACTGCTGGAGAGAGAGCCAGGCCTGCGGCCGGGGGGGGGGTCCGGCTGCACAGCGAGGGAAGTCTTGATGCCGAGGGGCTGCTGCTTACCTGAAGGGAAGATGCAGAGAAAGACAGGGAGGATGTGGAAGAATCCCAGGGCTGTGGCTCCTGCCCCTCTCCCCATACCCATCCATCCAGCTCCAGGTTTAACCACTAGTCTCTCCCTGGAAGAAGAGTTTAAAAAAAAAAAAAGGAGAGAGAGAAAGAGAAAGAGAAAGGGAAAAAACAAATCAATGGAAAGGAAAGGAGGAGGACTGAAAAGAAACACGCGGTCAGGCCAGGCCAGGCAAGCTCCTTGCCTCTGCGCTGCTGAAGGGTTGCACAGACTTCTTTCCCCCCTGCTTCTCCTCTCCTCTCCCCTTGACAAAACAGCCCAAACCATCAATCATTCCAGTCCCTTCCAATGCCTACAGAGCTCGTCCTTTCTCCCCGGCTCCTCCACTCAGGAGCTAGGGGCACCGCCTCCCGGGCTGGGCAGGCTCTTGTTACAGCCATGGACGCAAAGGGGTGGGAGAAGACGAGGGGCGGAGGAATTAATTCATTCCATGCCCTGTAGTAATGGGAGAGAGAGGGGAAGGGGCCACCCTTGCTACAGGCCTAACCACAGAAACCCCCAAGCCCCCAAACGCCCCTTTGCAAAGGGAAATACTCCCAGACCCCGGCCAGGCTGGAACGTCTCTCTTTGGCTGGAGATCACCATTCCCTTCTGCTGTTACAGCGGGATTGCCTGTAAAAATGACACCGCGGGGTCCCATATCTCTCCCCCAGCTGCTTCCCGAGCAAATTTCGGCTCAGTTTACAAGCCCAGAGATGATTTTTCTAGCTGCCAGCAAGTGCCTGGGATGTGAAAAGCCAGCTGGGTTCCCTCGGCCTGCTGCAGAATGAGACAGTCGTGCTGAGTCCTGGGCACTCACAGCTTACCAAAGGCTGTGTAAAGGTTGATATGGGAAAGGAAAAGGGCCATCACTTCTGTTTTGCAGAGGGGGAAACTGAGGCACAGAGTGCATAAGTTCTTTACCTCGCTGAGTTCATGGCACAGATCCAGGAAACAGGAGCACCTGGCTCCCAGCCCTGTGCTCAGTCCCCCCCAGGGCCACACTGCCACGTCTGATATCTGGCAATGCATATAATAATCCAGCCTGCTCCCCCACAGCTTCGCTGAGGTCTGAATGAAGCTGGCCTGACTCCGAAATGCACAGGTAGCAGGTCTGACAGACACTCTCCATTCATTTGGTAGGCCCTAGAAATGGAAATGACCTATGGTATTAGTCGTGTCATAGTGATGTTGGTCTGCTAGTCCAGCTCCCAGCCAGGGGAGGACTGATCGGTCTTACACCTTTCCTATCCTACTCTCAAGAACCATGTTAAATAGCCGGGCAAAGGCTCTGCCAGGGGTTTGATGGGATAATTATACCCGAACCCTCCTTGTCCAGAGTTGGTCTTGATTTCATCTTGTCCCTGCTTATATGGGAAAGCTGTACCAGTTTCATGTCACATGTGTGCAGGAATGGTGCGTCCCACATTTCTGCTGGGCATTCTTATTTTAGTGCAAGACTTGCCTTCTTGCTTCAGTTTCTTTTGCTTGCAACTGGGGTAGCTAAACAAAAGCATGTTGCACTAGTACCAGAAAAAAAGTGTTCATGTGGGACTTCTACCCGTGTAGCTATTTAAATTCACTCCTTAGCTTATATCAAAAAACCCCTTGAAGGAGCATTAAGTTGCAGTGAAATCAGACCCCAGTACTTTGGAACACGTCCCCACGCAGGTTTCATGGCTTTAACTCATTTAACTTCCCTGTTCTAGTGAATTCACGTGCATTTTCGTGCAAATAAGCCCTAGAATTTCAGCTCTTGCAGAACTTGTATTGAAGGAAAGGTGCTGCTTTACGTAGTCTCTTTCCTGACCGCAGGTGCCCTTTAACAAAGGAACTATTGTCATTCAAATTTTTCCTTCTACAGCTCAGAAAAAAACTTGCCAGGCTCCACAACTCCATTACTTTTCCCAGTTGTTCGTCATGGAAATCCCTCCCTCGCCCTCCCATAACCTTGAGTACAGTTTGCTGAGATTAAGTTCCTTTAAGGTTTCCAGCAAGTCCCTGTGATCACCCCTGTGACAAAACTCCTGCCTGGGGTAAAGTGTGGCAGATGAAGCAGAAGCAAAGATTTGGAGATGTTGATTGGGCTAATGGCCCTGTCTGGCTGCGGTGTGAAATGGTAGGGGATGACAATCCACAAAGGCAGCTTGAGTGGAAACCCTGAGTTTTTTTGTCCAGGGTGTGACAAAGAGTGACAAGGCTTGAGGTGTTTATACCTGGAATCAGAAGTCTGTGGTTGCAAACTAGGAGCCTTCTTGCCTCCAAGACTGTAGCCTTTCGGAGTCTGAACCTGATCTGACCATGTAGCCTAATGTTATGGCACTAGCAAGAGTCTTATGTGTAGGCAGCCGGCAGCACAAGCTTGAGTGGGTTAAAAAAGAGGCCTCAGTACTTCTTCCATCCCAGGCAATACAAGCTGTGCTCTAATTTAATGGGGTACAATCTTAATTAGACTAACGGGGCTTCTGATGTGTTGCAGGCTGCTGAATTGTACCAGGATCTAAAATCTCATCGCTTTTTTTGTACAAGCTACAAAACTGCAGAACTGTCAACTTTTACAATTCTGTTGCCACATGCGTGTACAGGAAACCAGGCTGATTGTATGACTCTCACGTATTGGTGCTGTGTGGGAAACTGAGGCCGTGCAAGGATAGATTGGGATCTGGTAAAACAATGTTATGTTTTTGAAATAAGACCGTTGTGAAGCTCCTGACTTTGGTTTTAGTGGGAAACGTGCTGCCAAAAGGCAAGGGCTTGATGCAGCTGGCTCCACTTTTTAAAGTTTCGCTCCTTCCTTTTTATTTGGTTCAGCTGTATGAAGCAGGCTGCAAATGAAATGCTGATTTGGGGACAACTGGTGAAAACAAGATGGCTCCAAACCAAAACTCCAAGAAGACCTAAAATGTGGGTATTTTTGATATCTCATATGGGATCCCGTTCTGCATCTGGCAAATGACCGTTACCTTTCTAGTGGGTTGACCCAAAGACCGGGATTTTAAATGCCCCCAAACAGGGGGGCTTGAAGTCCAGATCTGAACTTTGCCTAAGGGACATTTTAGATGTGGAATGAAGTGGAAGGAGATGTTGACTGCATTTTCCCTTGTATTTTTTCTCCTGAAATCTGAACACTGCAGTCAACAAAGATACTGCATTCGGACAGCACTTTCCCCCAGGCAGGATCCCAGAGCTCTCTACCAGCACTGTGCACCCACCTCTGAAATGCAGCCACCTCTGGGGTGGAATATAGCAATGCTGCACAACAGCTTGGCTCAGGGTGCAAAGAATCCCCCTTGATTCAACTGAGGCCAGTAGGGAAACATAGGCTGGCAGGGTGTAATGACCTGAATTTGCATCAGACCAGGGGTTCCCAAACCACTTCTCTCTGATGAAAGGGACACTGGGATATAAATGAGCATTGGCTGGCAGGTATCTGGTGCAGGCATTTCATGAAACACAGGATGATTCATGAAGTCTCCCCATAGTGAGACTTCGGTCACATGTAGCCACAGCAGAGCATGGTATGTACTGGTATGGCTAGATTTGTCCCTGGGGTAGCTCCGCGGGTTTGTGCTGAGCTCCCCCTCTCCCCACAGTAGGAGTTCACTGAGTACCTGAGCCATCTGGTTAGTAAACAGGGACTGGGACCTCCTACAGTATGATGGACAAGGCCAAACCTGTCTTCCCGTTACCCCCGAATTCAATAAGAGCAGCACCAAGCCTAATGGGATCCCATAGCTGTTGCTGGTCATCTCCTGAAAATGATCTGTCCTTTTTATACAGAGCCTCTTCTTTAATTATGTGTGGTGTGTGTGTGTGTGTGTGTGTGTGTATATATATATATATATATATATATATATATATACACACACACACACACACACACACACACACATATATATATATATATACTATAGCACCCACCCACACATATCACATACACACAGAGATTATAAAGGCACAGTGGTTGTCAGTATAATGTTAGTTAATGTATGCTGCTTCCCAGGGCATTGGTGTTGGCAGTAAAAGCTATAAGATACTAGAATCCCCAAAATAAATGACACCAGGGACCAGCTGCATGGCTTTTATTTTTCATCGTATTTAGATACCAAACAACCCCCTGTTCTAAGATACGCTATGTAGGGCCATGGACTTCATTGGGGTTGAATGAATGTAAACCTAATTTGAACCATAAGGTTTATAGTGGATAATTCCCCTTACAGCCTTCCTAATGAATTTATTCAGTACCTATAATTATACTGCTAAAATAGTAAATATGGGTAATTTTGAAGACTCTTTGCTGCCTGTAGCTAGTAGTTACAGTAGGGGACTGGAAGTCAGGTCACCTGGGTTCTGTTCCTAACTCTCCCACAAACTTGGTGTGTGGCCTATATCCACTAGTCTGTCTAACCTACACGACTCTATTTATCAGTCATTTCAGCTAACAAGCCCCTTAAGAAATGTGCATCACCTTTCTGTGACAATGCTCACCTACCTTGCAGGGGTTAGGGAATTTAATCATCCACATTAGCAAAGTGCAGAAAGTTTATAAACACTTCTCCTCCCATCTAAGTCAATGACAAAACTCTTATAGTCAACACTGGGTGTGTCTACATATGCATCAATGTGCTTTTCCTAATGCGGATTAAATTTAGTACCTCCAATGTGAGGTACTAAATAAATGCACAATTGGCTGCCCTAATGCATGGTACTGAAAGCACACGTTGTTTAAGTGGTGCTTAATGCTCACTAGTTTATTTTACTGTGCATTAATGTAACTGCATGGTATTTTGTGTGATGCTTTGGTGTGCAGTAAAATAGGCTACTGTGCATTAAAGCGCACATGTAGATGTGCCCACTGTTTACTATGCCAGGTGCAGAATCAGGCCCCAAAAGAGCTGGTTTGCTGTCATTTCTTCTAAGGATGAATGGCTTCATTTTAGTCTATGAAATGTCATTTAACACATTGGACTGTAGAGGCCTATAGTCTCTATCGTGAATTATCTACATCACACATGCCTGGACATTTATACAGCTCCTGATGAGAGATTATTGCTATTGCAGGGTTTCCATATGATTAAAACAAACCCCACATGTTTAGCTATCAAAGACAGGCACATTAAGATGAAAGATGGTGTGTATGTGCACATGCCTCTTGACAACCTCCAGTGCTGAGAATTTGGATGAATGAACATATTTTTATGCTGAATGTGAATACAATGAATATGGGGAAGTAGTAAAATAAATAGTAGAACTAGATGTGCAGAAAAGGGCAGTTTCTGCCCCAAAGAGCTTAAGTTTAAAACTAGAGAAGGTATTCAA